AGAGTTACTCCCGTAATCTCTAACCTAAGTGAATATTCGCTCCCGCGATATAAACACACAACAATACAAGAACAAACATTCATAATAAATTCCTAACTACTACCATCTCCTGATGTGCAATAACTAAGAATCAAACTCCATAACATATTTGCCCTCTCCCAAGGTGGGACAGTTAAGTGTAATTGTGTGTGCCCTAAATTATGCCAAACTCCCGTTGTGACACAAAGATAGCGATGAAACAAGTAATTTTTATATACAACTACAGTAAAAATGTTATTTCATAACATCGAGTATGGCTTTGCCCAAACTCAAACCGGAGACCTTCAGTGTGTTAGAGTGACGTGATAACCAACTACACTACGAAACCATGCTTATTAAATCATTTATAATTTATAAATTAAATATTTGTTTTATAAATAAACAAAGTCATGTTTCATTTATTTAGCGTTAATTTCCAAAATGGTCCTCCGACTATGACCTTTTCTCAAATTGGTCCCTTGATTTTTAATTTTTCCAAAATGTTCCTCCGACTTGTGAATTTTACGCCAAAATGGTCCTCCGTTAGTTTTGGGGTTAAGTTGGTGTTAAAATGAAGGGTAAAACTTGAAATTTAGGTTTTGCACTCCAATTTAAAGCAATATGTGATTACTTTCAGCAGTTTGTGCACTTATTTATTCAAATTTGGTTTTTGCTCTCCTAAATCTGCAATAAAAATATGGAATAATCAACAAAAAGGCCAGAAATCTTTGCCTTGGGAAGTTTATGGATGAAGTTGAAGATGAACTTTTTTGGCCTTCCTTCTTGAAGTTTAAAGCACATATTGCTTCTTATAAGCTTTTGCTCCAAGCTTCCTTCTTTTCTTAGCCCAATAGATTTCCATTATTCTTATTGGGCCAACACCTCACCCATAAAGATGGACACCCCCACATGAACGATTGGGACAAACTTTCCCAATAAAATGGACCCTCCGGGAGGCAAATTATGTTGTGCATCCGTGTGCACAGATGCAAAAACGACGTCGTTTTACTTAAATAAAAAAAATCATTTTCGATTGCCGTTAGTTACGTAAACATATGTTCATAATTTTATAATTTCACATTATGAATTTATAGTTATGAAATTATTGATGTGTAGTTATGCAATTCTGAATTTATACTTATGAAGTTATGGATGTGTAATTGTATGCAATTCTGAATGTATAGTTATGAAGTTATAATTTCACATTCTGAATTTATAGTTATGAAGTTATGGATGTGTAGTTATGCAATTCTGAATGTATAGTTATGAAGTTATGGATGTGTAGTTATGCATGCAATTCTGAATGTATAGTTATGAAGTTATGGATGTGTAGTTATGCAATTCTGGATTTATAGTTATGAAGTTATGGATGTGTAGTTATGCAATTCTGGATTTATAGTTATGAAGTTATGGATGTGTAGTTATGCAATTCTGAATGTATAGTTATGAAGTTATGGATGTGTAGTTATGCATGCAATTCTGAATGTATAGTTATGAAGTTATGGATGTGTAGTTATGCAATTCTGGATTTATAGTTATGAAGTTATGGATGTGTAGTTATGCAATTCTGGATTTATAGTTATGAAGTTATGGATGTGTAGTTATGCAATTCTGAATGTATAGTTATGAAGTGGATGTATAGTGATGCAATTCTGGATTTATAGTTACGAAGTTATGAATGTATAATTATGCAATTCTGGATGTATAGTTATGAAGTTATGGATGTGTAGTTATGCAATTCTGGATTTATAGTTATGAAGTTATGGATGTGTAGTTATGCAATTCTGGATGTATAGTTATGAAATTATGGATGTATAGTTATGCAATTCTGATTTTTTTTTAAAGTCGGACGTCAAAACGACGTCGTTTTTGCAACCGTGTGCACCATGTATGGGACACACTAATTTAAAGTATTGTTTTAATTATACTACAATTTCATTTAATGATCATGGTCCACACAATGATGTGTGGACCATAGTGGCATAGTCCACTATATAACAATTGGAGTACAAGTTGCCAAGAATTAACAAGGTAAGACAAATAAAAAAGAGTAAATACTCAAAATGGTCCATCGACTATAGCTAAATTCACAAATTGATCCTCGACTTTTAATTTCAACCAATTAAGTCCTTAACTTTGTAATTTTAACACAATTTGGTCCTATGTCTATTTGACTGTTTGTTGACTATGATTTTTGAGGATATATATGTAATTCATGGTCCATCGTCGGTTTTTTAAGGTTTTGGTTGCATTTTCATACCACACTGTTACATTTGAATCCACTACCGAAAGCAATTTACCAAATCTGGTCGCCTTTTTTCATCCTCCCTTTGGATTCAATGTAATTGAGTTCATACCAAAGCGAAGAAGGCGATGTGTTTCCGAACCAGTGCAACGTCATCCTAGAGGACTCCACATGCTCCGATGAGAGCTGAAGGTTTTTCTGGAGATCGTTGATCACAGTCAACAAACGGTCAAATAGATGGAAGATCAAATCGTGTCAAAATTACAAAGTTAAGGACTTAATTGGTTGAAATTGAAAGTCGAAGACCAATTTGTGAATTTAGCTATAGTCGAGGGACTATTTTGGGTATTTACTCAATAAAAAATGTCCAATGCGCCATGTGTTCATTGGATTGCTTCCTGAATTGGGCCGAGTGAATTGAAGATCACCAAAAATGGGCCAACAAGCAAGAGTCCAACATTCCATTAAGGTTCTAATGGGGCTCATCCCATCATGCAAATTATGCTGTGGACCTAGGTCCAAAACGGCGTCGTTTTGCTTCAAAACGATGCTGTCTGAATTTTTTTTAAAAAAATATTGCTTCCTTCTTTGCCGTTAACTTGCCATTTGTCTTCAGAATTCGTTCATCTATATTCACAATTTTTGAATTCTATATTCACAATTTTTGAATTCTATATTCACAATTTTAGAACTCTATATTCACAATTTTAGAACTGAATATTCACAATTTTATATCTCAATATACAAAATTGCAGAATTCAATATTCACAATTACAGAATTGTATATTCACAATTTTTGAACTCTATATTCCCAATTATATCAACAGTATAACACAATTTATATTCACACTTTTTGAACTCCGTATTCACAAACATATTATTGGTTGAGGAACCGATGCGACTAACGGCACCGTACCATTATTCCATATGCGCAAAGCTGCGTCGCTTTGGAACTGGGTGGGTCTATGGCCGCATAACAATTGATCCTATCATGAGCTCATTTTTAATATCTTAAATGCTGATTTTTAAAGTAGTATAGATTCATATTTATGTAATATGCTAAAACTGAACCTCTAAAAAATGAACTTATACTATTCTAAAAATGAACTTATATGTTAGTGATCTACCTTGTAATGTGAATAATGATTGATCGTATGAATTTTTGGGCATTTTATACTAAAAATTTTATAAAACCAAACATATCCAAAAATATATAGAAAAATTATTTAAAATTTTAATTTTTTGGTTAGATTGATTTACATTTGTAAATTTTTATTTTTTTGAAAAGTACATTTGTAACTTCATTGATCATTATATCGTGGATCAGGATTCAACACATGCATTCTGAACTCTGTTCATACATATCATTAACATATTACACACCTTCAATTAACGGACTATGTATTTACAATTAACGTATTATATACTTTCAATTTATTTAAAAATGTATAATATGTTAACTGCAAGTACATGATTTGGATATCGGACCAAGATCCACATTGCATATTATCTAAGTAGACTCTAGTCTATATATGATATAATTTGCGGGCGTAGCTTTTATGTTCTTGCATGGGCTCAAAATATGTGCACCACATGGACTAGTGTGTGTTGTACAAAATGAATTCAACGACACATCACACTATTATAATGAAGTGAGTTTGAAATGAAACAATCCTAAAGCTTATAGATGCATGTGCAGCTCATGTCATCCAAGTCCAACAATATCATCATCCAGCTAGCAACTAATTTATGAAAGATATTATTTGCACATATATATTTAAGAACTATCAATGAACTAAATGCAACTTTAACTACTAGAGCCTAAATAATCATGAAACTCGCTAGCTTAGTTTTAAGATGAAGTAATTATCACTATGTCAGACGTTATAGCTCGTAATGAATGTGTAATATTATTTCTTTATAGATGGTTACAATTTTTGAGAGGCAAGATGTGTTAAGACTTGACCCTTCACGGACCTCCACCTAACATTAGTAAATGCGATCTATGCATATATACTAGAGACTAAATAATCATGAAACTCAACTATATTAGTAAATGCGCTAGCTCTATGCATGAGACAGACTTAAAAATTTACCCTCAAAAGACGAAGTCTCCCACCTCTGGAGCCGTAATATTTTGACCTGATAGAATTGTGGATGGGTAAATCATTCTGTGACTGCATCTTGAGTCTTCCAACGCAATTTACCACTTTGAAAACCTACTTAGTTTGTTAGACAGAGGCTGATGAAAGGCTAATTTTAACACCTTACTCCCGAAAATGTAGCAATAAAATGAGATAAAGTTGCGCCTTCCGTACTAGTTATACCTTTTGGCGAACTCCTCCCAACCCAACAGAGCATTTAGAAGGATATTTTGATCTTCTTCCGATCAAACATAGCATTTGGGAGGATGTAAATTACAGGCCCCGGGTCCCCCACCCCAATCCAATAGAGCATTTTGGAGAATATAAATCACGATTACTCAATGCCTTAGGACAGACATGACCGTATACCGGTGCACACAATTACACAAGAGATCTGTTTACTTTGTGCATAATTCCTACACTGTCGCTACCAAGGTTCAATAATGCTTGGTCCAAACGCTTGATCATAACACTACTAGTAGTATTAGTTTGCTAAGAACACCACTCCCACCAATATAACTCCACTTCTAGTTTAAACCACACAACATCATATATGTATATATAGCAAAGTTTTCATCTTCTCAATTCACAAGACATTTCCCTTTGCGATCGAATTGAATTGCAATGGCGCCACGGGTATTCTGTGTGAGAAGAAGCAAACCACAACTTATTTTGCCAGAAAGCGAAACGCAACGCGATGTGGTACAGGTGTCGGACATCGACGACCAAGGCAGCCTGCGAGTTCAAGTTGCGGTGTTGATGGCGTACAAGGTGAACGAGGAAATGAGAGGGATAATGGATCCAGTTGAGGAAATCAAGAGAGGGTTGGGCAAAGCACTTGTTTTCTACCACCCTTTGGCTGGGAGGATCATTGAAGGGCAGAATAAGAAGCTTGTGGTGTTTTGTTTTGATGAGAAACGGGTGTGGTTTGTGCCTGCCAAAGCAAATGTTGAGCTTGATGAGTTGGGTGTTGAGTCCTTGCACCCTCCTTGCCCACACTTGAATAAGCTTCTCCATCATGTGCCCGACTCCACTGGGATCACAGAGCGCCCTCTTCTACATATTCAGGTATCCTAATTAATTAATGCCCACACTCGCTTAACTCACTGTTTCACTATGCAGTATTTGAAAAAGGAAATCGAAGGTATTTGGTGAATTAGCTATTATCTATTTGGTATAATTTTTTTTTTTCAAAAAGCTAATTGACCAGTTTTTTGAATTTTAACATTTTGGAGTTGTGATTTTTTAACCAAGTCAAACAATTAATAGTGGTCAAACAAACTACAAGTCAAACAATTAATAGTGGTCAAACAAACTAAAATCGGCACAGGGCCATCAAGTAGGGCTGGATATTTCGGTTCGATCGGATTTAATCCAAACCGAACCGGAAAACCGATCGGTTTTCTATTTTTTTTTTTAATAATAATAGATATATATATATATATATATATAGATAAGGTGAGGTTTGAACCATTACTCATTTGGTTATAAACTAAGAGCTATAGCCACTAAGCTATAACCACATTTATATTTATATTCACATTTGTATGGTAATAAAGGTATACATTTTTCATTAAATGTTGCAAACTTCAAATATAATGAATAAAATTGTCCGTACTACATTCTTGTTAGACTAAAATATCATTATACCGTTATTACACCATTGCTATTTAATTCTAAAAATTTCATAATTCTATCATTATTATCATACACCTATATATATATATATATATATATATATATATATATATATATATATATATATATATATATATATATATATATATATATATAAAATTTAATTAACTATGAGATCTTTTTCCTATTCTTTAATTATTATTTTATTAAAATCATTATATAATTACTTTAATTGTTGATTATATTTTAATTAAATTATATATATATATATATATATATATATATATATATATATATATATAATTAATTATGATATCTTTTTTCTATTCTTTAATTATCATTTCATTAAAATTATTATATAATTACTTTAATTGTTGATTATATTTTAATTAAATTATATATATATATATATATATATATATATATATATATATATATATATATATATAAAATTAACTATGATATCTTATTTCTATTCTTTAATTATCATTTCATTAAAATTATTATATAATTACTTTAATTGTTGATTATATTTTAATTAAATTTCTATGAATAGTAAATCATATATGTGTGTATATATATAAAGATACACACACGTACCAATATATGTGACCAGGTACTAGATTAGAATTATAGATATATTATTTAATTATTGTAAAAATAAAATATAAATTATATCAAAATTGTTTATATTATTAATAAAAAATATATAAATTTTGTTCATATCTATAATTTTCAAATACGATGATTAAAATTTATTACTTTAAGAAATTGCGAAATATAATTTGAACTATAATTTGTAATTATTTGCATTTATCAATTTTGTAATGTTAGACATAAATTTTCGTGCATCACGCGTACAAAATGCTGATATTATATATATTTCATAATAATTAATAATTTTAACTCCTCAAGTCTTCAAATCTCAACTCCAAGTTGTAAGTCCCAACATTTGGTGTTTTAATAATTTTTATTTTTCAAATATTAACTATAGATGAATGATTCTTCATCTTGTCATCAACAAAACACTTCAAGTGGCACTCCAAGTGAGCCAATTGAACAATCAGTTAGGCAAAAAAAGAAACGTTCAAATAGTAAACTTTCACCAAAACCGAACCAAATATCGAACCGAAACTGAAACCGAACCGAACCGAACTTTTCAAACCGAAACCGAAACCAAAAAAACCGAACCGAAACCCGAAGTGCCCAGCCCTACCATCAAGTTTTGAACATCGTCCCCAACAATGTGGGGATTATGCTCAAAGTGAACAAATTCTTTATATGCATTTAGCTTATTTGCTGAGTCATTGAGTTACTGTCATTTACATTCTTCCAACCAAATGCTCTGTCGGGTGCCCCTAAGGGGGGAAATGAAGCATTTTAGGGGTCGTTTGGTTCACGGAATGTCAGATTACCTTAGGGAATGTTAGATTGGTGGAAATGTTAGATTACTGGGAATGTTAGATTCCTGTGTTTGGTTAAAATTGGGGTATGTAATATAATCATGTTTGGTTTAGGGTTATCTTTTATTCACACACTATAATATCCTTAACATATTTTCATATATTTTAATAAATTTAAAAATTAAAATAAATAAATAAGATAACGGTATCATATATAATTACATGATTTTAAAATATTAACTAAAATATTGAACTTGAGAAACAAAATTATTTTATATGCTAACCTAACATAATAAAAATAAAAAAATATATAATTACAAAAATAATTATATATATATATATATATATATATATATGTGTGTGTGTGTGTGTGTGTGTGTGTGTGTGTGTGTGTGTGTGTGTGTGTGTGTGTGTGTGTAATAAACTAACATAACTAAGGTTATCTTACATAACCTTATAAATTGAAGGGAATCACATTCCCTTCAAAATCCTATGTGGAGGGAATGTGACATTCCTGGGGAATGTTAGATTCCATGAGATAATGTGAACCAAACATAGGAATGTGAGCTTTGGAATGTCACATTCCCTTGGTTATGTTATATAACTTGAACCAAACGCCCCCTTAGTCCTTCCTTCAAAATTGTATTTTTTTATTTATGGTTCACACAAATGTGTGGACCATGATTCATAGATAATGATGGTCCTTCAATTTTTTTTTTGCTTTTTTGAATGCTAATGACTCTATTACATTGTAGTATCTGTTCAAACATACTTTCTATCTTTTAACTCGATCGCATGACCTCCCACATGAGAAATGTCATTACATACCATTTGAGCACAAGGTGCTTGGCCTTCAATTATTTGTCCCTAACTAATTAATTTTATCTGTCAATGACTTGGTGGTCTAGTGACACGAAATGAATGGCTTTAGAGATATGATATTGACTATTTGTACTTGAGTAGGTTGAGAGGTATTGATCTGACTCTTTGTATTTCAAGTAATTATGAACAAATACGTTGATTAATATATGCAGTAAAAAGTTATAAAATATATCCTTATAAGAATATATTATAACTCGTTTGATCATGCAGTTAACTCGTTTCACTTGCGGTGGTTTTGTATTGGCCATTCGCTTCAACCACACCATGATGGATTCCCAAGGCTTAGTTCAGTTTCTAAACTCAGTCGCCGAATTGGGGCACGGCGGCGCCACCGCACCCTCCATTTTACCCGTCTGGGAAAGAGACTTCTTAAAATCGAGGCCAACCCCACGCATCACATGCACACACAGAGAGTTCGAGGAGTCCGACGAATCCAAGACCGCAGTGTTCCATGGGAAATCCGTCGACGTAGAAAAGCTGCTAAAGAATCTCCGGTGGCTCTTCGGCGAGACGCTCGTGTTCGGCATGCTCATACTCAAACGCTCCTTCACCTTCGGCTCCAGAGAGCTGCAGGCGATCAAGGATCAGTGCCTAGAAAACTGCACCACCTTCGAGGCGCTCACCGCGTGTTTGTGGAAATGCCGCACCGCCGCTCTCAATCCGCACCCCGCCGCGACGGTGAAGTTAACGTTTCTCGTCAACGTACGAGAGAGATTGCAGGGCGGCACCTACGAGTTGAATCGCGGGTACGTTAGACACTCATTATTTTTTTTAATAATATTAATATATTTGAATAAGTTTTAGATAATGTTGGGCCAAATCTGACATTCCGCTCTTGAAAATGTGATGACAGTCTATTAAGAAATAAAGTTGTGTGCATTCGTTACTAGTAATAGCTTTTGGTGTGAATGGTAATCCTTTGATTCTAAGAAGTGATATTAGAACCAGGTTACGGGCTTGAGTTAGCTTATTAGCCAATTTAAACTTATTTGACCTAGGTGTTTGACTTGATTAAACAATTAATTAGAGTGTTTAATTAATTAACTTTCTGTAATAATTTATTACTCCAAAATGCTAAAATTCAAAAAGCTGTTCAAAGAAACTTTTTCAATCAATTTTTAGAGAAAGACATTTTGTAGATAATCAGCTAACAGCTAATTTACCAAATATTTTTCTACAATTAACTAATGCTATTAACTAATCAAACTCATTAACCTAATCAGCTACCATCTATTTACCAAAAACTCCTTTGTATTTACAGGTACTACGGCAACACGTTTGTGTCGGTGGCAGCGGCCACCACGGCGGAGCTGCTGTGCAAGAACCCGGTGGCGTACGCGGCGGAGCTGATTAGGGAGGCCAAGAATAATGTGAACGAGGATTATGTGAAGTCCGTGGCGGATCTTATGGTGCTTAAGGGCAGGCCGAAGTGGTCGGTTCTTAGGAACTTATTGATTGCGGACAACACGCGATTGGGATTGGACGAGGTTGATTTTGGGTGGGGCAGGCCCATGTTTGGTGGGGTGGTGTCGGTCAGTTATGGTGTTGGCTACTTGGTGCCTCATAAAAGGATGGAAGACATTAATAAGGGTGTGTTGGTAGCACTAGCTTTACCTCCTATAGTTATGGGGAAATTCCAAAATGAGATTAGGGAGATGATTGGAGGCCATAAATAAATTCAAGAGTTACACCCATTTGGACAATTTATTGAGCAATTAATAAGGTACACGTGAATTTTAATGACTTGTTGAGTTAATAAAAATATCAAATGGAGGAAGATCAGACGATGAAAAACCAAGGAGACCAGACAAAGTTTCATTTGGAATTTTTTTTTGAAAAAAAATAAAAATAAATAAAGCTACTATGTACCAGGACTATGTGGTCCAATGGTATCCGGGTTGGACTTCCACTTGGAAGGTTGTGAGTTCGAGCCTCAGTGGAGGTGTTATTAGCTCTTTGTGTTTCAATAGGTTGAGAAAGTATATGAACAGATACTACAATGTAATAGAGCTAGTAGCATTCAAAAAAAAAATAAAGCTACTATGTGGTCTGATCAGTCTGATCTATATATCCATGAGTATTATAGTAGATAGTTGGAATTTTTTTTTTTTTCAAATGTTCAAGTAGATGGAAAGTTGGGCGAAAACTCATTCAAATTATAAACTAGAATTTTTCATCTACTCTTTCAATAATGTTCCAAGTTTAATTAATAGTCTTGTTATGTTCATAAACATAATATATAAGTGTGGGATACTGTACCACAAGGTTGGCTCAAAATCGAAGTAGATGAACAAAGGGAGAGGAGGTGGAAGAGGAGAAGAATTATTGTGGGGAATACGGTCCAAAATGATGTTATTTTGATGTTTAAAAAAATTTCGTTAGTCAATAACGACGTTTGTTCAATCATTTGTGTTAAAATAATGAACTCCTTGGGTACGATAATGTATTTTATGAGTTAAAATAATATATTTTATGCTTTAAAATAATGTACTTTATGAGTTATAAAAATGTATCTTTAGTAAGCTCTCAAGTGTTGATTAATTGACAATCATGTGTTTATATAATGGACATTATGAGTTAGAAAAATGTATGTTGCAGCAATGGAGTTGAAGAAAAAACAGTGGGAGAGGAAAATACAGGTTGCGTGAAAAAAAAAAATATGCAACCCATATCACGCAATTAACGGCACCATATTTTCTTAAATGAGAAGACAACGTAATCCCACTTCTTGTGACAATGAAAAAATCACAGAATCGACAGGAGCACAAACACAAGATGATACACAATATCCAAAAATAAATAACAAAGCAATGAACACAAGATTTACGTGGAAACCCCAATACCACGGGGAAAAAAACACGGGACCACCAACACCAACAATTCCACTATAACAAATCTCGGGTACACAGGTTCAGGCTACCACACGAGCCATACATCCACAAATCATCAAATACACCAATTCTAGGCCAAATACATCCTTTAAAATTCATAGGCTAAATATGAATAATATCCCGTACGTACTCAAAGTATTCAACTACCACGAACAAGATAAAATGAATATAAGTAGTACGAGATTACCCAAAAGATGCCTGGAATAAATACAAACTGACCTTCAAAACATTTGATGAAGATTGTACATAACAAGTTTGGCAAACTCACGACAAGTTCCTCGCACTGCCAAATGAAAAGAATGAAGGGAGAATAGTTTTTCCCTTCTCTTAACCTCACTGCCGAATCAATCTCTCATATGTATATGTGAATACTTGGAGAAGAATGGAGAAGCTCCTTTTATAACCTCAATACTTAAACATGGAAATAATGAAGATTAAATGGGAATAAATTTCTTCAACTCTTCACATGCTTAACTCTTCTACTTCCCCAACTCCTTATATCCCAAGAATTATTATTATTATATAAATAATAATAATAATCATGTCTAAAAATATAGTGGATAAAATTGACTTGGTCCAAACATGAGCTATTTACCACATAGGAGGGAAGCTCAACTCAACAGTGATCCACATAGATGTGTGAACCACGGTCCACGCCATAACGATTGTATCAACTGTGAGTGGAAATTTTGGGTGCAAAATTGTTCGGAGGTTCTAAGTAGGACAATTAATTTAAAAAAATTTCAATTTTTTAGGGTGGATGGAAACTTTCAAAGCAAAAAGTTTTTTTGAATGTTCAAAGTAATCGGGACTAAACCTTTACTTTTCAACATTTTTTTTTTCTTTTACCTTAGGCCTCACAGCTTATGTCGCCCTAGACTCTACCTAAGAGTCGTTGGAAGAGATAAATTGCGAGTTGCTGAGCAGCTTCCCAATCAATTCCTATTATTGATATTGCGCACAATGGATCCATCTCCACACTTCTGTCAACTAAGGAAGCCCAATCTCCAATCTATGGAGCCCAATGGTCCATACTCTAGCGTGAAGGCAAATTATTCTGTGGAAACCCGGGTCCACTTTGCAAGGTGGATCCGGGTCTAAAATACACAATTTACATATTGAATGTTCACAATTTTGTTTTTTGTTTTTTGTTTTTTTTTGTTTTTTTGTTTTTTTGTTTTTTTTTTTTTAAATCGAAAGGAGAATGCATTAATTACTATCCGAAGACAAAACATTACAAAGAAAGGAAGGGAGATGATCAACCCAATCCATACAATCAGACATAGAAAGAGCCTCTCTAGCTAACAAATGAGCGGCCTCGCTGATCGTTTAACAAACGAGATATGCGCATTAGGGAAAATACGTAGCAAATCTTTAATATCAAGCAAAAGTAAATCGAATGGTGAGTCTAAAGTCATGGAATTCAGCCCTTGAACAACCAGGGGCGGAGCCAGGATTAACCAATGCGGGGCCAATCACGATTTAAGAGAGAATAATGAAATATAATAATATTCATTTAACATGTTCCAAAATACATCATTATATTACAATGTATACTAAATTATTTTGCAATTTGCTTTTCAATGTATACTAGCAAACAATCACTAAGAAATTCATATTCCATCTTGTTACGAAGTGTAGCGTTGACTATATTCATGGTAGAAAAAGATTGTTCTGTAGTAGCTGTAGATACTGGAAGTGTGAGAATGAGAGTTACTACTCTGAACACAAGAGGATAGATGTTCGATTTTCTAGTTTTTACCAACCATTAGCATAGATCAAAAATACTTTATAGTGTTCTAAAATCAGGAAGTTGTTGCACACGTTTAAAATGTTCAAGTTGCATTCTCAATTGCAAAATCTCATAATCTTCAAAGTCTTGTGGGCAAAACTTCTCCACCAACTTGCAAACATCATCAATTCTGAATGATACACGCATCTCTTTTGGATCTAACGATGAACTGAGAACAGCTAACTCCATTGCTTTATCATCAAACCTATTGCTCAACTCTTGCAATTGAGAATCAATCACCGCATAAAAAATATCTACTTTGTAATGATGCCCAATTGTTAATTCATCTTGTTGATGTCTAGCCCTTCCTCTTCTTGCAATATATTGAGCATCAAAATCCGGCACAATTATATTAACAGTTTCACAAAAAAACTTCACACTTGCAACTAATTCATCCCATCCACTATCTCTTAAAGTTTGAATAAGCAATTTAGTAAACGACACAAGATGCATTGCATTCAATATATCTTGAGATTGAAGTTGCAAAGCTTGGCAAAGCATATTAGAAATCTCCAGAACTTTTTTTCATGAGATGCATAATGAATACAAATTCAAAAGAAGTGAGTACCTCATAAGCTGCATCGGAATCTCCACGGTGAGCATATATAGTTCCATCTTCAATAATATTAAGTAAAACTTCACATATTGCACTAAACATTCTCATCAAACTTGATATAGATTTCAAATGCGAACTCCAGCGAGTATCACCCGGCCTTTGTAAAGAACCAATTTCGTTAAGGCCCCTCCCACTTTCAAGCTCATCAATACTAAGCAAATGAGCAATATTTGAGGCATGAGCAGCTTTTAACTGGTCATTGCGCTTACATGAAGCCCCAACAACATTAATAATGGAGTTTAACTTGGTGAAAAACTGATGGACAGGGATGACTTCCTTTGATGAAGCTACTAATGGCAATTGCATTCGATGTGCAAAACAATGAACATAATAAGCATAAGCACATTCATCCAAAATTAAAGCTTTCAATCCATTCCATTCTACACGCATGTTACTTGCACCATCATAACCTTGTCCCCGAATATTTTGAACATCAAGATTATGACGAGATAAGATAGAAAAGATACATTCTTTCAATGTTGATGCACTAGTGTCCTTAACATGAACAACTCCAAAGAAACGCTCTTGTATAAAGTCATCTCTATAAACAAATCTCAAGACAATTGGTATTTGTTCCTTCTTTGATTCATCTCGAGCTTCATTAACAATAATACTGATGGATTATATGAACCCGGGGGTCCGGATTATACAACCCGAATATATGTTTGAATATAATAAATAAATAATAAACGATAAATATTGTATCAATTGAGTGTATAATGCTATTACAGAGATTCGGGACGTGTAATAACAGTACAAGTGTTGTAAGAAGGTAGAAGATGTCTGGTTAAGACACCGGGGGGGGGGGGGGTGCTTATATACCCCCGGGTGCCACGGGCCCTGGGCCCGGGGGAGGAGCCGCGGCCCGCGCCGCGGGACTCGCTCCACGCGAGGACCCGGCCCTTGGCCGAACACGGAGCTCGGCCGTGCTTGGTGAGGCCGGTCATGCCGACCCCGGGGTGGTTCGCCATGCTACGTGGGTAACGCGGGTCCAACCCGGTCCGTGTTGGCCTGCTCCGATCCGGTTCCGTGATTATTCCATCATCAGTCCCCCATTCTCGGGGCTGCAAGAAGTCGTCAGTGCGAGAGAGTAAAACAAATTTAATAATTACGGGATCCCAAATTGCGTTCCAAAAAATCCAACCCAGCCTCCTAAAGAATTCCCATCGCGATAGGACTCCTAACCGAACTGGAATTCAGACTTGTGTTCATCTTTATCAGCTTAAGAATCCTTATCCTACCATAACCCTTCAACCTCCCCTTTAAATACCACTCCCATCTTCCCAAATCCCTCATCCCATTCCCAAAACCACACATTTTCCTCTCCCCAAAATTTTCCCAAAAAATGTCTACTCTTTTTCCCTCACTTCCCCCCCCCCCCCCCCACCCCTTTCCTCTATATAAAGTAGCTCACGAAGCATGAATATGAATGACGAGGGTAAGAGGTCTTCGCCAACCTTTCGAGGAGGTCCTTGCCGACCTCTCGTCGAGGTATCGGCCGACCTCTCGGGGAGGTCCCGGCTGACCTCTCGGGGAGGTCTCCGCCGACCTCTCGGGGAGGTTTCCGCCGACCTCTCGAGGAGATCTACGCCGACCTCTCGAGGAGGTATCCGCCAACCTCTCGGGAGTTCCCAGCCGACCTCTCGGGGAGGTCTCCAGCGACCTTTCGGGGAGGTTTCCGCCGACCTCTCGAAGAGGTGTTCGCCAACCTCTCGAGGAGGTCCCCGCCGACCTCTCGACGAGGTCTCGTCCGACCTCTCGTGTAGGTTTCCGCCGACCTCTCGGGGAGGTCTCCGCCGACCTCTCGGGAGGTCCCAGCCTACCTCTCATGGAGGTCTCCGCTGACCTCTCGAGGAGGTCCCCGCCGACCTCAAGACCTCGACCTCTCAACGAGGTCTCGACCGACCTCTCGGGGAGGTCCCGGCCAACCTCTCGGGATCGTTTCCGTCGACCTCTCGAGGACGTCTCCGCCGACCTCTCGAGGAGGTCTGCGCCGACCTCTCGAGGAGGTCCCCGCCGACCTCTCGAGGAAGTCTCCGCTGACCTCTCGAGGAGGTCTGCGCCGACCTCTTGGAGAGGTCCCCGCCAACCTCTCGACGAGGTCTCGACCGACCTCTTGGGGAGGTCTCCGTTGACATCTCTAGGAAGTCTCCGCCAACCTCTCGAGGAGGTCTGCGCCGACCTCTCGAAGAGGTCCCCGCCAACCTCTTGGGGAGGTCTCCGCCGACTTCTCGAGTAGGTCCCCGTCGACCTCTCGACGAGGTCTCGGCTGACCTCTCGAGGGGATCTCGGCCGACCTCTTGAAGAGTTCTCGGCCGGCCTCGCGGTGCACCCTAGGGGCGGTACGAGGTCCGACCTCGCCTATCGCCATACGGATGAGTCGCGTCTCCCCATCGTCGGGCCGAAGGAGAGCCTCAACGCCAACGGGGTCAATGTGAATCCTCTACCTTTAGACAACATTTGTAACGTTATTACACGTCCCGATCCAATGTAATAGCATTTTACGCTCAATTAATATAATATTTATCGTTTTATTATTCGTTCGTCATATTCAATCTTATATACGGGTTGTATAATCCGATGCGGGGTTCATATATTCCATCATTGGTGCTCTTGTTGAGAGCGGCTGTACAAGCTTAAGCGCTCTCCCCATTATCACTCATCCACAGCGATGACAAGATCCGGGTTGAACACCCACAACTCGCAGGGTTCACGCAACACCCGCGACCTCTCCCTTGCCAACCACCCCAACAGGACCACGCGAGTCGGCAGACCGTGCCCGTGGTGACGAGAGGGGACCTCAGAGATCAGATCAACGGGAACCGGCGGGGGACGGCGGAGGACCTCCGGGGTTGGCTCACCAACAATTGCCCGGCCGAAGGAGAGCCTCAACGCCAACGGGGTCAATGTGAATCCTCTACCTTCAGACAACATTTGTAACGTTATTACACGTCTCGATCCTCTGTAATAGCATTTTACGCTCAATTAATATAATATTTATCATTTTATTATTCGTTCGTCATATTCAATCATGAGTACGGGTTGTATAATCCGGACCCCAGGGTTCATATATTCCATCATTGGTGCTCTTGTTGAGAGCGACTGTACAAGCTTAAGCGCTCTCCCCATTATCATTCATCCACAGCGATGACAAGATCCGGGTCGAACACCCACAACTCGCAGGGTTCACGCAACACCCGCGACTTCTCCATTGCCAACCACCCCAACGGGACCACGCGAGTCGGCAGACCGTGCCCGTGGGGATGAGAGGGGACCTCAGAGATTAGATCAACGGGAACCGGCGGGGGACGGCGGAGGACCTCTGGGCTCGACTCACCAACAATCGCCCGCTCAGCGGGATGGCGCCACCCGTCCCACCCCCGATTCTGACTCCCCAAGAGGAGGCCGCCGCACTCGAGCAGGCGGCGACCGCACTCAACCGCGTCGTGGCGGGGCTGCGATGTGGTGCCCCGGCACCTCCACCTTTGCCCCCTCCGAGGGAGCACGGGCCCCCAGCACTCATGTGCCTCGGGCTCTTGGGACACCGACCGATGGAGAAGTCAACTCACCGTGACCATCTGAGAGACGAGGCAAAGTGGAGGCCAGCCGAGGCCGGCACGAGCAACGGGAGGAGAGGAGGACTCGGCCGACCTGGACCACATCCGCGCTCGGGCGGTTAGGCTTGCATGTGCCGGCGTGAGACCGCCTTGGGCCGAGGCCGGCCGCAAATGCCTGACAGGCGGAGTCGTCGTGTTTGCGGAGGTCCCAGAGCCATGAACCTCGCGTTCCGGGGCCACGGGAGCCGACCCCAACAATAGAGCACTCGAGGGAGACCACGCCAAAGACCCCGACAACGCCCAGAAGAATAAGGATGGTGCTAGACCATCCGCCTCCGCCCCGCGCAAGAAGGAACTCGACCAACTCACGCAGGACGAGGAGACCGAGCCGGACAGCCCGGCAAAGAAGAAGGTCACCCACGTCATCTTCGGTGGCCCGGAGGGTGGAGACATGCCCGCCAAGAGGAAGAGGTGGGCGCGGAGCCTATACGTGGGGGAGGTTGTCCGGGTTCCCACGAAAAGAAGACACGCTGGGAGCCCATAACGTTCACCGACGACGACCTCCCGGACGGCCCCCTACCCCACCGAGACGCGTTGGTAATCGGGCTGGAAATCAAGGACATCATTGTCCACCGTGTACTAGTGGACACGGGGAGTTCCGTGAACGTCATGTATTATGACACCTTCACGCAACTTGGATTGTCCCGGAAGCAGCTCTCCCCGGTACGGACCCCGCTATCTGGTTTCACCGGGGACTCTATCGAAACCGAGGGCTCCATCACCCTCGAGGTGCAGATCGGCACCCCACCGCACGTCAAAGAGTGAGAGGTGGAGTTCGTGGTGGTGAAAATTAGATGCGCCCATATCATTATCCTCGGCCGACCTGCCTTGGAGGACCTCATGTGCATCATCTCCATGGGGCACCTTTGCCTCAAGTTCCCCACTCCCACTGGAGTGGGTGTTGCGCGAGGAGAGTAGAAAATCAGTCGGAGCTGCTACTTGAAAGCATGCCGCCAAATAACAAAGAAGGACCTCCAGGTACACACCGTAACCGAGATGTCACTTCGAGATGAGGAGAAGCGGCCCCGAGCCGAACCCGCGGGGAGACAGAAGTGGTCATTCTGGACCGACCCGGCAGGATGGTGAAGGTGGGTACAGGCCTCCTGGCCGACCTCCGGGGTAGGATCGTTGAGATCATCCGCAGCTACAAGGAAGTGTTCGCCTGGGGTCCCGAGGACATGCCGGGCCTCAGTCGGGAGGTCATCACGCACAAACTGGCGGTGGACCCCAAAGCCAAGCCGGTCCAGCAGCGGAAGCGCTATCCCACCGCGGACAGACGAGAATTTGTGAAGAAGGAGGTCGACACCCTCCTCGAGATAGGGCACATATGGGAGGTCCTATACCCGGCATGGCTCGCGAACGTAGTCCTCGCACCTAAACCACCTACATGGAGGATGCGTGTGGACTACACGGACCTCAACAAGGCATGCCCCATGGACCCCTTCCCGCTACCCAACATAGACCAGCTGGTGGCTGAGACGGCGGGATGCGCGCTCATGAGCTTCCTAGACGCCTTCCGGGGGTACCACCAAATCTATAAATGAACACAGGGATTTATCGTGGAAACCGAAACGGTGAAAACCACGGGCCTTTTTTGGCCAAGCCAAGCCGGAATTCCTTTATTATATTCGAAGGTGTAGTACATGTGCACAGGTAGGCCATGGCCATAGAACGAAAGAGAGAGTAGAATGTGTAGAAGAGAGGTTTATACTTGAGACTGGCGTCCCCCTTCCTCTGTCTTCCTGAGCCTTTATATAAAGTAACTTCCTGACA